GGGCGCTGCTGTTGCTCCAGCTGCACTTGCTGCGGGCGCTGGCGCAAGGTAGGTGGCGGGCCTGACTGGGGTGACACCCCCCGAGATGGACTTTGTGGGCGCCGCCCGGGGTTGGCTTTAGGGGTGCGCAATCCCGGGGTGGACTCTTGGAGCGCGCGCGCCGCCCGGGGTGACACCCCAGGGGTGAACTTTGTGGGCGCCACCTGGTCTAGATTATGAATGGATATCTCTGAGGTGACTTTGCAAGTGGACATCTGTGGGCTGGGCTTCAGGGGCGCACAATCTTGGGGTGACACCCTGTGGTATACTTTGTGGGTGCCATCTGGGATGGGCTGTTATGAGTGGATACCTTCGGACTGAGTTTCAGGGGTGCACAATCTTGAGGTGATACCTTTGGAGTGAACTATATTATGGGTTTACAACCCTGAGGTGACTTTGCAGGTGGATACCTCAGGGTTGCACAGTCTTGGGTGACACCCCTGAGGTGGAGTATGGATGCCCACCTCTGGGCTGGGCTGGGAGGGTGCACACCCCTTGGGGGATGGACTCTTGGAGTGGGCATCACCTGGCATGGGTTGTATTACGAATGGACATCCCCGGGGTGGACTTTAGAAATGGATGCATCTGGGCTAGGCCGTGGGGTCTGAAATACTGGAGCGCACGCCCCTGGGACGGACTGTTTGAATGGTCACTCCCTAGATTATATGAGTGCACATCCCTGGTGGACTTTAGGATTGATACCCCTGAGGTGGATCCTGTGGGGTGCGTTCAGCCTGGAGTAGGCTATCTTTGGGGTGTACTTTGGGGATGGACACTACTGGAGTAGATAACCCTGACACGGGCCCTGAGGGTGTTGGCACTTTGGATGGGCTCCATAAATGGGCGCTGCTTGAGTGGACAGCCTTGGCGTGGACTCTGGGGGTGCGCGCCGCCTGGGGTGGATCCTCTAGGGTAGACTTTGTGAGTGCAGCCTGGAGTGACCTAGGGGTTGTGGGTGCCCCTCGGCGCAGCGCTGGGAACTTTGCGAGCGTTTAGGGTCTCCCATCCACTGAATCACTGGGTCGGGACTGCGGGTCGCTAGGTCTGGAGGCAGCGAAAGGGTTAATGCGGTGTGCCTCTAATTCGCGCTGCAATCGGAGCGCACTGACACCGAGTAGCTGGAGAATGCGCCCTGTGTGTTGTGTGTTGCATTTTCTTTTCTTTTTCTTTTTTTAAATCGGAGCCCTGGAAGAACCTTTAAAGTTGAGCCCCAGCCACCGTGGCTTCAAAGAACGCCCAGCGCGTCCTATTGCACTGATTAAACACGAGCTGATTCGTATCTGAGTCTGCACCGCAGAGTCTTGTTAACGATGAGTGACATCCGCGGTGGACTTCAAATATCAAGTGCCAGTCACCACCAGCCTCTCTTTCCCCACTTCTCCCCAGGGCTGCCTCCCCTCCCCTAGTCCTGATGCCTCGCCCCAAGTGGGTGCCTAGTACTCGGTGGAGCAAAACTTTGAGGGCCCCAGCTTTGCCTCCAGGCTTTGTTTTTCTCCCTCGGTTGGCTTTTGTTTGGAACACGGAGGTGTTCTCTAAAATAAGGAAAGGGGATCTGCGGATTCCAGGTGACCTTTTGCAAATGGAGATGGACTCTCTCCCGAAAGAGCTTTCCCTCCTAAATCTGGATTTCCGCTGCTTAAACCTGAAGAATACATGTGCTAGTCAGCTCTCTCTTCCCCGGGGAGGTTGCTGGTCTCAAAACTGAAAAACCAGACATAATCGTGTTAACATGACTTTTGATGGAGTCTTTAAAACAAATAGTGAACCTGGTTTACTCTTGGTAGTTTAGAAAAATTAACTTTCGAGTTCATTCCTTGTATCCTGGAAGCTTACCAAAGTAAGGCGTTGAGTATTTGGAGATTGAAGGAAATAGGTAGATTTATACTTAAATTACCAAGAGCTATGTTCTGTGTTATATGTGCCATGAGTTATGTGTGGTAAAATCCCAGTGATTTAAATGCAATACTTAAAAGTCTGACTTCAAAATTACAATGAGATAGCTTAATAAGACTCTAATAACTTAATATTCTTATTTGAGCTTATCTAATGTTATCTGGGTGGCAGCCCTTTTCCTCTTAGATTTTGGTAAATGCCCCTTTCATGTTTTCTGTATGGCAACAAATCACCGTGTTTCTGGTTACTTTTAGCCCTCCACACCTAACATCCTCATTTCACTTTTTTCTGGCACCTTTTACCTAAGGATGTCATCCAGGAGGAAAAGCATTTACTGATTGTGTAAAATGGAATCTGTAGGTTGTCAGAGGAACCAGGTTCAAGTGAAGAAATCGAGATCACTTAGGATGACCTTCAGAGATGGAGTTCAGTTTCTCTTCTCAAAAATGAAAGTGACTTTCACTTGACGACAGTCACCTGTACATTTGAAGATTGGCACACCACTTTGAACAGTTGGAAAAATCTGCTACAGCCCTTGTTTTGAAGTGTATCAGAGTTTATCAGCTGCACCTTGCACGCCCTGTAAAGTGTTGCCCTTTCACAATTGTAATGTTAGTGAAAATTATTAATTTTTATAAATACATGTACTAGGCAACAGCCATACTTTTCAAAGAGAGGAAGGAATCCTTTATTACTTCTTGCCACTAAAAACACAGGCACCCATTTCACATTTATATGGTGCACGAAAGTATGCAGATCTTTTAGTGTAAAATTTCAAATAGGTTGTCACAAATTTTAAATTCATCGACAGGTTTCTGTTCTTTGTGCTATGTGAAATGTGTAATATATCCATCATTTTTTATATCATATTGAAAATTCATATTACAGAGGAGATGTCACCATTTGACAAAACCTCATGTATCTTGAAAATGAAAATTCCGGTGCCGCTGTCGAGATTTCTGATGAGATGATGAGTTGGTCATATGCACAGGAATGCTTTTTCTAGAATCCTTTCAGATAAAATGTAACATTTTGCATGGAACAGTTACCACTAAGTTGAAACTGTCATAATGCCATATTGATACTGTGTATCTATCTAAGGCCATTTCTAATTCATCTGTTGGGTTTTCCTCTTAGGATACTTCCTATAGGTTGGCTTGGTCATGATTTCTAGCAGACAATAAGGGCAACATGTTTACTAAAAGTTATATATGTATAGCTGAAGTTACAAACAGGGAATAGATTTCTGGCCATGATGTAAAGCATCAGGTTTGGATCTTACAAGTGTAACTTCAGGATGTACTGCAGTTTCTTCTCTGTACATGGAAGTGGAAATTATATTCTCTGCTTATTGGTGTGTGTTTAATTGTTCATGACTCGTCTGGATTTTTAAAACTCCAGGTTGTTAGTTCTGGAAGGCAGGTGGCAATGCATGCTTTCTTTATGCTGTGCACCAAGTATGAGTGGTTCAGAAAGAGGGCTTCTGAGGCAAGGGATGCATCATAGGGACAGGGGTGTCTTGGGCTGGAGAACTCTGTTTCTCTGGAGCTGAGGTGGCTCCATTGATAAAATGCTTGCTGGGCAAACACGAAGAGCTGAGTTCAGATCCATAGCACTCACTTAAAAGTCCTGATGACTCTAACACTGAGGGAGGGGTAGGACAGAGTCAGGCAGATCCCTTGGAGCTGCTAGGCCAATCCGATTAGCAGAATTGCTAAGTTCTGGCTTCAGTGAGAGACCCTGTCTCAAAAAAGAAAATGTTCTTTCCAGTCTCTTGGATCTGCTCTTCTCAAACACTGCATTAGAATCAGGTGGACATTTGAGGGTATGCAGGACCAGCTCATTTCGGGTGAGCCACCAAGTGCTTTCCAGGTGACTCTCATGTCCACTGTCGCTTGAGAATCCCTGGCTACATTGCTTTGTTGTCTCACTCCAGTTACCAGCTGACTTTCTGGAAGCTTCCCTAAGCCAGTGTTTCATAGCTTGGCTGCACACTAGAATCCTTTGGGAGCTCTGAGGCAGGATTGGACTTCTAGACTTTGTTGATTTGAGGTTTGAGCTAAGCAGTAGGATCTCTAGACTCCCCAGTTGGTTCTGATGATTAGTCAGGTTTGGGAACCGCTGTTCTGTGAGACTCCATTCCCCCTTTAATCTTGTCTTCAAGCCTTCAGATCTTAGTGGACCTGGAATCTGTGTTCGATCAAACCCTGCATGGGTCCCGGGCTCGTTTTCTAATCAGTCCTTTTAGTTTGCATTGTGTCCCTTGCTAATGCAACTGTTCAGCTCCTGCCTTGTGCTGCTCTGAGGATTACATTAGAATCATTAGTGACACTTATTTATATAACAGGGTTTCCTGTGATACAGGCTCCCCATGCAAACTCACTGTGTAGCTAAGGATGACCTTGAACTTCTGACTTCTACATCCTGAGTTCTTGGATTCTGTGACATGCACCACCATACCCAGTTTATTGCTAGTGAAATTGAAAGAGGTACAGTTGCCTAGGCTTCACACCAGACCTGCTAGGTCTCAAAAGAATATATTTAAAAAGGTTCCATGTTCTGTATGGCTCAGTGGTTAAGAGAACACATGGCTTTTCACAACTATCTGTAACTCTAGTTCCAGGGGATCTGATGCCCTCCTTTGGCCTCAGAGGGCACTGCACACATGTGGTGCACAGGTATATGTTCAGGAAACACCCATACACAGAAATATATATTTTTTAAAAAGGGGGTTTTTACATGTGAGCTTGTCATATTCTATTTTGCTTCTGTCCTCGTGTTGCTAATCCCATAATCTCACTGAATTTGCTGGCACTCTTACCCTATTTTCCTATGGTCTGAGCCACTTTCCTCATGCCATTTCCCAGCTGTGGGTAAAATCTGCTAATTATCCTTTCTGCCACTTGTTTGATGGAGAAATAACAAAGCAGTGTTAATTGAGGTCACTGCAAGTCTAGCCTCCCTTTGAGCTCCTATTGTTTTCCATTAATCCATATGCGCTTTGTGGTCCCCTCTTCCTCTTACCCTCTGAACCAATTCCTTAATTCTGTAGTTTCAATTGGAGCTGGAGCGTGGGCTCCAGACCACCTTGCTTCACTAGAGCCTTATACTTAGCG